CCTCCTACAACACGGGGAGCACAGTCTATCGAATCATACCACCCCCGGAATCGCGTCCCCCGACATCGGTAGCATCAACGCAATATTCTCGAAAACGCGTTCGTAATACCAATTTCTTGCCTCGTTGCCTCCCTTCTTCTCCTCTCCTCCTCCTCCTTTCCCTCCCTCCCCATTTCTGCCTCCACCCACGCGCCACCCACCTGCACCCCCGAAAGAAAGATTCCGCGCGACAAGTTTCTCTGATTTTCGAAAGATCGCGTCTGCGGCGGCCTACGTCGAAGCGGCTCTTCCTACATCCGCTCGCGACGACGACGCCGCCGCTGCTGAGGTGCATATCGATCCCTCGTCCACCATCCCCCTCCCGCCGAATCCGCGCTCCCTTTTCCTCCTCGCCTCGCTCTTTCCATCGCGTCGCCGTCGTGATCGTGGTCGTGGTCGTGGTCGTGGTCGACGTCGGCAACACTCCTAATTGTACCAAGAACGCCGTGGAATAGCTGTGCAAACCCTTTGCTGGGTCATGCCCCACGTGTACGTGTGCACGCGTAGACGAGGAGAGGGTGCGTAGGAGGGGTTGAGCGGAGAATTTCATTGGAACGCGACCGAGGGGGAGGGGTGGAGTGCGCCGAGAATTATTTTCCACGCGTGCATTGCCGGTGATTAAGCGCGCTCGTGTGTGTGTGCGCGTGTGTGTGTGTGTGTGAGGGAGGCTTTTCGACTGTTCAAGTTTTATATATGTCGACCGATGGGTGCTCGTTGCAGAAACGAGCGACGAGCCCCGCCCTCTCCCTCCCTCTCTCTCTCTTTCTCTCTCTTTTTCTGCTCTCGTCGCAGAGCTAGGCGAAATTGGAAAAGGCCTCGCGCGAAAGTAACGCTTTTCAACGTTGTTTCTCCAAAGAAGGATCTCTCTCTCTCTCTCTCTGACTTGCTTTTTTCTTTTTTTCGTTTATGAAACGTTAGGCAGGTGGAGAGGGGTGTTTCTTCTTTTGGGGTGCTCGTTAGGTAAATGCTGTCTGCCACCTTGTGCACCTTCTCATAGTGTCGCCACAGTGGGAATCTGATCGATGTTTTGGTGGGTTTTTTTTTGGAGGTGTTACATTCGGATAAAGAAATTTTGTAAAAATCGAGGTTTTTAATTAACGAAAGGATGGTAAAGGAAGAAGCGATTAATGGAGAGGATTTTATGCGAATTGCGTGAAATAATTACAGGAGAAGCAAGTAAATCGTTACCCTTCGTCCATTTTCAATTAAAATACCAATTTAATTGGCAATTTAACGAAATTTAAGAAAAAAACCTCGGATGCAAAATAATATTTATAATACTGTTGTACATGCTTATCAATTTAAGAGATTATCTACATACGGATACTTATTTAACGTAATTCTAACGGATACGGATTTTTAATTAATGAAAGTTTAAATGGCAAATTGAACGAGCAAGGAGACGTGGCAACACGCGTAAATCGATGCGATTTTTCAATTAAAATTACGATCAATCGTAAAACATTGGATACAAATGAATTTGCAATTGCGCGTTTACCGCAACGCGATTATCGATCCAACTTGAAAAATATAGATATTATTCAATTGTTTAATAGAGAAGAAAAATTCAACGCCCATCGTTGAATACCGTAAAGCTAAATCAAATCGTCACACGCGCCAAGTGATTTTCATACAATGCACCAGTGTATATATATATATACATATCGGATCGTTCGGTTAACGAGATTCCGATAACGCGATTCTTCCAATGGCCTCCGCTATCCGGGGTCATCCCGCCACGAACAGGGAACGGAAACTCTTTTATAATCGGGCATTTCTGCTGTACAACATATCCAATACGAGAGAATATGAGAGCGCGCGGCTATAAATGTATACTATAAATGTATACTATAAATACCACAAAGGTTTATGCCTCTTTGCCATTGACTGGCGGCCTCGTCTGGTCGCGTGTCGCTGTATCGTGATCTAGATAGGCAATATCGCAATAGGCAGAAATTGCTACAATTCCACTTTATGTAACGCTGTTACGTATCCATCTGGACATATAGGCGATAATTATTCCCCAATTTGTACTTCGTTTTTCACGATTTTGAATTGCGTTTGCGAAAAGAAAAAAAAAAAATAAAAATCTCTTGGAAACAATCTCTCGAAGCGGTGTTGACAAGTGACATTTTTAAAGATCACCTAGCGAAAGAAAGAAATAAATAAATAAAAGAAGGAGAAAAAAAGAAGAACAAGTCGTTGTGCAATTGAAATCGAGAGAACGAGCTCGTGAATGTATAAAATCGGTAATCAAGCGTGATAATATTTCTGCGACATTTCAAACGTGCCTGAGCAACGGGTGAGATCGTTTTACGTGTATTGGTTGCACCTATCGTAACACGGTATCGCGATTACATTAGGAATTTAGGCGATCGAGCTCAATGATTAACGTACTGTTCGATCAACGATAGCCACGACCTACGCTATCCTACTCCTATGCAAATTTTTCCCCGAATGCGAATTTTTTTCTTTATAGCTCCTCGAAGCGAGTATTCGGTTACGACACCTGTGGGCAAGCT